AAAAAAAAAAAAAAAATGCTTTCAAATATGTAAACCTCAAGTTGTACTTCTCCAGACTGAGCACTTCTTTCTTCAGTTCATGTATCATCATTTTTGAGGTTCTGCCTTTCCTTTGTGTCCCCTCTGGATATTCTCCAGTTTGTCTATATTTTTTACACCTATTCAACATAGCTCCCATTTCCTCAGGAGTCTTAGTTTTTGCTTTTTCTCCAAGTTTAATTATCACTAGCAGCCCTGACATAGGAGATTAGGGCAGGGGCGAACCAGACAACTAACTGGGCAAAATGTGTGAAAGCTCATTAAAAACCCTTAGCTAACAGGTTGAACAAGATGACTCCTGAAAAGATAGGACATGCATAGAATACAGGACTCAAAATGATTCCAGGATTCCTGAGCACTGTACATAGAACCAGTCAGAGAGTGATACTTTCAAACCTTCATTGGAATATGGTGCTTAACCAATCAGAAGAAGCTCTTTTAATCCTTTATTTACATGTAAGCACAACCAATCAAAAGACACTCTTTCTGATTTTTCATGTACGAGCGAGGCCAGGTCAGTTTTTGATACCTGTACCAATGCCTTATTTGCATGAGGGAAAGTTTGATCCAAGTGTTTTGAATATTAAAGACCCTTTTCCCATTACCCTTGGCCCCTCTGAGCCTCTTCACCTGCCCCCTTTCACTCTGAAGTGTGTACTTCCTTTCCACCTTTCATAACTATACACCCTTGTTGCTTTTCCTTGTGCCTTCTTCAGTCTTTGTCCAGGATACCGAGAACCTGGGAAGAAGACCTACTGTGTGGTAACAGCCCAGTCTCAAAGTGTCCTGAATATGTTAATATCATATATGACAGAACTGCTTAAAATGGCACTCAGTATCATATGTAAGGGTGGTCCAATCCTAAAAATTAGAGCAGTGCTCTCACCATCCTGATTTTACTTTACCAGTGCAGCCAAATAGAGCCATCACTGATTTGGGCCACAGATCACACTGCTGACTCTTACTAAGCTTGGGCTGATTTCAGCCCTTCTGTTTCCCACACTTGATGCCAGAAGCCACATCGTCCCTGGGGCGTGCTTGCGCTGTTTGTTGTTTTGCATCTGTTCTTATTGAATATCATGGTGACAGCATTCAGTCCATTGTCCACTCTGTCCAGAAAGTAGTCATCCGATATGCTGATTTATTCCTTACAACTTTGTTTATCAAAAAAATCTAATCATGCTCTCCTGTATCACTATCGAAATTGTTTTAAAATATTACATAGAACATTTTTGTGGCTCTTTGCTTTTTTACATTTTAACCTCCAGTCACATCATAGAAGTCATTTAATATTACAAACTCAATTGTAGTATCATCCAAACCATATATTTCTGGGCTTTGCATGACAGTGTCTTGGGAGACTGCCACAATGCCTTTTGGAACGTTAGCTGTCTAATGTAGAATGCCTTTTGTCAGTGCATCTAGATCCTAGACCTAAATAAATACATAAATATATATTAAATGATAAGATAAGGGAAAACTAGATTTAAAACTGACTTGTCTTATGAGATTATTCAGTGATTCACTATTTTTTTTCCTCCGCAGGAGCTTGGAAATGCCTGGCACATGAACTAGGTGCGTGCCCAAGGAGGATATTTTTCAATTTTTATTTTTATTATACGTATTTCTTTTTCTTCATTAACTTTATTGGTACATTTTAGGTGTACATTATGTTAACACTCATTGTTGGGAGTTTGTACCTTTACATGATGTAGCTTGGTTCTTCTTTTTTCCCCATTCCCCTGCCCTTCCTTCAACCCCTCCACCCCTTCCTATTTACAAGGATGTTGTTTCCATTTTTTTCCTTTTCTCATATTTATTCCCTTCCTTTATATATATTTCTGATATATAATTTATTATGAGGAGTTGGTACATGACCCATCTTAAATTTTTTTTCAACACCTTCCCCTCCCACTTCTTTCGTCTTTTAGTCCCCTTCCCTTATGAGGAAGATTGAACTTCCTACTTGTTATTGTCTATCAGTGAATGTTTTTTGATCAAAGTATGATTCTTTTAATTGAAAAACACAGGGAATCTTGTGGTTCTTGCTGGTGAAAGAAAACCCAAAGAACAGCCTTTTTCTTTACCCCTGTCAAGAAGTCCCATACAGAGGTTAGGTCCACAACAGAGTATGAATTGACTATTTGCTAATCATGAAAATATCATTGCTGAGATGCAAACATGTTTGAGGCTAAAAGTATGAACCAAATGCAGAAAGTGCCAGTTCTTCAGTGTGAGCAATTAATTAGGCATTATCTTTAAGTGTGGTGATAGGTCCCATGGTATAATGCAAATCAAATATCACCAGCTGCTGAGAGAACAGGCTCTTAAGAAGCATCTCTTATACTGAAGGGGAGAGGGATGTGGCCCTGACATGGATTTTCTGAGGCCCTGGAAGCTAAGGACATGAAATATGGGAAAATGTTACACAGGCATCTCTGTAACAGATCAGACAGAAACTGTGTAAACTGAAGTACGGGAAAAGCCTAGCTCTGGAAGCCAGACAGACCTGGGTTCCACTCCTGAATCTTTTTGTGAGCTTTGGTGGGTCATGTGATCCTGTGAGCCTTTAGTTTCTTCAGCTCTAAGATGGGGGTGACAACTTCTCCTGGTGGGTTTTGTAAGGATGAGAGACTACATGGGCAGCACCCAGGGCCAGGCTACCTTCAGGACGGATTGTACACGGCAGTCCCGATGGTAGCGGTGGTGGTGTTGGATGACTGGTAGCGTGCCAGTCTTCACTCTGCTGCTGACTTGGCCTTCTTTGATCTTGGTACCCTTGGGCAGGGGATTTAGCTCAGAGGTGCTGCCACCTTTCTTGTAAGCGAAAGGTCCCGAGTACCATCTCCAGTACCATCCCCACAAAATCCCAGTGATCTTGATCTTGGTACCCTTAATCTTCCAGAGCTTGTTCTTCCTTGTCTCTGAGAAGATTGTAGTGGGCTACATGTTGCTCTGGGGCTAAGAGCCTGTCATGCCGTGCCAGGGGTACAATTAGGGCAGTTTGTGATAAGCGCAGTGAGTCACGGCGGAAGTCCACTGACCCTGAGGCAGGATGGGTGGAGTCGCCAAGGGCAGTGTCCCGCAGGGAGTTCACTTTCTCCTCCCCAGGCCTCTTCTACCCCACAGCAGGCTGAGGCCACCTGAAGGGAGCCATCATCCCCTGTCCTCACCGCCACACCTGCCTGGCTGTTGTCATGGTGAGGTCCTCAAAATAGAGCATGTTTGTTCAGGGCAAGGGGACATTTAGCACCAGGAAAAGGGCCGTGCCGAGGAAAAAGTAAGTTTCAGAAGGTGGGGAGGGCCTGTCTTAAATTATTTAGATACAAAATAACTTCTTTTTCTTGTGTTTTTTAATTGAGAATTAATGTGTGATTGATGCAGAAAGCCACAAACACATGGCTGCCATCGTTAACTTTCTGTATATGTCTTCCCAGTCCTTCATGTGTCAAACAAGAATGAGGCCACGCCCTCTCCCTATAGAACGTGCTTCTCAGGGTATTTCCCTCCCTTTTCGGGGTGCTTTTTAACGCTGCTGATTTCTCCTGTGGAGATGCCTTAGTAATTTAGCAAAGGTGTCCAGAATGAGATGCTGACTCCTAATGTCTGCAAGGCATATTGGGAGCAGGAAGAAACTTGAAGAATTCATGTTTATATTTTTAACTTTAAAAAATGTCTTTTATGATATGTGAAAACAGGTCTGGAGTTGAGAGTCCTGAGCTGGGATGGTGGCCCTAGCGATTGGAGCTCTCTAGAGCTCCCTGACATGCAGCCCTCACGCAGGCACCTCCCTCTGGCCCACAAGATGACTGTGGGTGTCTACATATTCACATTCCAGGAGGAAATAATAGGGGGAAAGGAAGGATAAGTGGCTTTCTCCTAGTAAGGCCTTGCTTCCTATTCAAAAAGAGGTGTCTTCCTTCCCACTGTTCAATACAAAGCAAATTGAGAAATTAAAACTTCTAGCATTTCATCCTCTTTAGTAAGGGAGGTCAAGGCAAGAGTAGAGGTGGAGTATTTGGGGGCAAGCAATCCATAGGGTTTGACATGGCCCTTTCCAAGAAAAATGTGTGTCTTATACACGTGCATATACATACCCATACCCTACAGGTAGGCAATTTCAGGAGTGTTTTCAGCTAAACTTATTGGGGGGGCAGGGGAAGATCACTCCACAGTGCCCAATTGAAACCACCACTCGAATAGATGCTCTTTTCAGCCCAGGGCAAGGAGCAGGAGATTAGTAGAAGGGGAAAGAGAGCGAAGAGAGAAAAGAAAGTAAAAAGTTATGAATAGGATTAACAGATGGAGAAAGCAGAGTGACAATGAAGGTTATAAAAAGCAAATATTATAATTACAATAAGAAATATAGTGGCAAAGAGAATAAAGCAACACTACAATGGGGAAAAGAGAATGAATCACATAGGTAGCTGCAGCTTAAGGAAGGACTAGACGTGAGCTTTCCAAAGGGAATGTGAGGCTGGAGGTGAGGGTGAAGTAAGACATCTCTAGTGAAAATCCAGGCCACCTCCTATCCATTTCTGTAGGGTCATAGGACATTCATTACCCATTCAAGAGGTTTCTTCAGAATATTTGGTAACTTGGGGATTTGATGTCTGATAGTGAATAGGTAAGCAAGATATGCTCAGTTCTGTAAAATTCTGTTGTATATTATTAAATTAGGTATTTAAATAATTTCTAGTGAATTTATCACTGTAACTTGCAGTTATTTCCCTACAGATTTGTATATGGTGATAACACTATTTGAAACTATGTGAGTTACCAATGGCATACATACAAGCAACAGAATAATCAGTACCATTGCCCAAACCATCTCATAGGACCTACGACAAATGCTCTTCAGTTGGAAAAATCATAGATTCTCCCCTGTATCTTTGGCCCAGTAGTAATTGAAGAAGCAAAAAATTTTTGAAAGCAACGTAGTTGTTTCAGTCATGTGTATTTTATCTCTACAGAACTTGGTGATATCAGAAAAGATTACCATATTGGAAAAAAAGTTTAAGAAAAAGAAAAGTAGAAATTGTGAAACTGCAGAAGAGCTCAGTGACTTTTCCAGAGAAACAAATACCTGATTTCTAAAAATATTTTATATTTTGAGCTGGTTTATAGAAATCATGCAACTAATTAACTTTTCTAACACATTCAAAGCATCATCCGGCAAGTTTCAGTGCTCCCAAGTGCCTAATGAAATAAGCAGTTAAAGAGAGTACAGAATTTTACTTATCCCAGAGTAAACTTAAAGTAAAACTTTGTGAATGTTGAATAAAGAATAATATGGCAGATTTAAGACTTAGGATTTGGAGGCAGACCTAGGTTGGGTTCCTAGCTCTATCACCCATTAGTTGTATGGTTTGGAGTCAAGTTACTTCAGTTATTTCATTTATCTGCCTCCATTTCCTCACGAATATAATAGAGATAACTACTTCACAGGGTAGTTTTGAGGATTAAATGAGATAATATCTGGAACCTTACCATGAGGAAGGGCGCAATAAGCATTAGGAATGCTACAGAGAAGATGAATGTATTAATCACTTTTCCAATGCTGGGACGAAATACCTGAGAGAATCAACTTACAGGAGAATAAGTTCATTTTGGCTTACGGTTTCAGAGGTTTCAGTCCATGATTGGTTGGTCCCTTTGCCTTTGGGTCTGTGCTGAGGCAGAATGTCAAGGCGTATACCCAGGGACTTAACTTCCTTCAATTAGACCTCACCTCCCAATATGGTAGAGTCGCAGGCTGGTCATCATCTTGAATTCTACCTACTGAGTTCACACTCAGCCTCCAGAGTTTTTTCAGCACCATTCTCTGAATGACTATTGTTAATTCCAGTGGTGTTTGGTGCAGTGTCTTACTTCTTATTTCAGTAACATGTCTTCAGAGGTAATATTTTTTTCTGGAGGATAAGAATTTCTAAGTTTTCATATAAACTCCATCTACTGAAGTTCCAGTCAGAGTCACAAACGAAGCCAGAAAATTCTCTCATACCTTGAACAAGCAGGATAAGTTACACAGAAAAAAGGGAAGAAGTTGAAAAGCAGTACCTGTGATCTGTTGTTGTGCCACTTTGGAAGATGCTGTTCAAACAGATGACATTGATAGCTATAATTTTTTTAAAAAGAAATTTGCTGAAATGGGTGAAAATCATTCTGAATGTGGCTTCTTTTACTGTTGACTCAGTGAATGAGTTTTGGAAAGACGGGCAGGTTACATTGTCTAGTACATCCTATAGCTAGGCGTCTTCCATTTACTTTAGAAAGAAACAAATGGCTGAATGTAAAGATGGCTCCTACATGTTGATTGGTTTTTATATATTTAAATCTAGGTTCTTTAGACTCTTAAAATCATAGCATTTCTACTTAGCATACGATCCTATATTTCAAGAAAGCATAGGCATGTTCAAGATATTCCATTTAAGATGACACAAAAATACAAAAATGTGTGCTCTTTGGAAAAAGTTCCGTTTCCTAAAGGGGGGAAAAAAAAAAAGGAAATGGGCAAAGATGGAGAGGAAAACCAGAGAACATAAAATTCAAGAAGCATGTAAGAATATGAAGAAATGCTAAAGTTCACTGTTTACAGAAAAATGCAAAATACATTAACAATAAGAAATCACTTTGCACATATCAGACAGGCAAGAGTTGTGAAGCAGGGTAATGCCAGGTGTTACCCTGGTGGGACCCTGGGGTCATGCAAACCTCTCTGCAGTGCTGGTAGAAGTTTTTTGAAGGGAGTGAGGGTGATAGGAAACTAGGTCTGTTTCTGTTGTATGATGCAACAAGCCAAATGCATTCCCATGTACCTGTGTCACAAAAGAATTCTCAAAGAGTTCATAAAGGGGACTGCTTGAGGTGACAAGGTTTACCAGGTTGACTGGGACACTCGTAGTATCCAGTTGCTGTCCTGGTGTAATTATTAATGTCAGCTTTTCATTCTCAAGAGTTTTCACGCTGTATATGAGAGGCTGGCCATCCTACCACATTGTGGTGGTGGGAGGTAGTTTGCAGAAGGTCGAGGCAAAATGTGTTGGATTCATGCCATTTGGTAGAGAAAAGTAACAGACTAGACATACTCCTTGCAAAAAAAAAAAAATGGGTCTTGAAAATACTGATGAAAGGAAAAAGCAACAGACAGTTTTATAACAACATTTCAGCAGAGTTAAGGCCCATGTATATGACTACTATATGCTTTATAACCATACTTACTAATGAAAGGACATGGTTGTAATAATTGCCTTAGGGCAGCAGAAGAATATGAAAGAGAGAAAAGGGAAGAAAGAAAGAAAATGAGAGAGGTCTTGCTAGATCCAAGAAGCTAATGAACCATCCTGAAATGTGATTAATTCAGCCTCAGGATCTGAAATCAAAAGCTAAGAGTTCCGTCAAAATAGAAACAGGATTTGTAAAACACTCAAAAAAAAATTAAGCTATAGCTTTCTTGGGACACTGATATTTAATTATTCTCCTTGCAATTCCATAAAACATTTAAGACTTCTTGAATTAGCGCCTTAACTAGAACCAGATAAATATAAAAAATATTTGAATGAAGAGGTAGAACCAAATGTATATAGAACCAAGAAAGGAAGACAAAGCCACATGAGGTTAACTTTTAAAATTCCCTCTCCAAAAAGACCTATAAACTTGCCAGAGGTAGAGCTCAGGTTTAGTAGTAAAGAGGCCAGCAGGCACTGCAAGGAAGAGGTCCTGACACACAGGATTCTCACTCTCTAGATTAAGAGCCACCACAAAACACTCATGCTCAAAAGCAGCACACATTTCTCGTTCCGAAATCAGAGAGAAATTTGTCCCTTGGGTTCTTATAAGGAGAGCACCATACGATGGCATAGTGACCTAGCAAACTAATTTCTGCCGAAAAACTCATTCCGAAGCCATATTAAAAAACCAGCGTTTTAACTTACTGTAACATGGTTTAGACCTCTTGGATTTCCATAAAGCAATCAGGTTTCAGTCTCAGATCAGGTGAGGAGATATTCCTAGGTATGAAGTAAATCTGTGACCCACAGACATTTGAATTCTTCTGCTGGATTATGAATCAAGGGACTAGATATTCTTGGTCATTTATAGGTGTAGGTAATGAAAGAAAAGCAAAGGTTCTTTAGGATTCCTTGAGTGTCACTATTTCTGTGCTCCTGAGCAGGCAGAGGGAGGTGAGGTGGGGAATGTTCTCGCCATCTCTCTCTGAGACAAGTTAAGCAGTGGTGAAAGTTTTATGAACTAAAAGCGAAATATAATAAATTTGGTGCAGATGATGTAAGGTAAATCCGCAGTGTAGAAAGAAGTGTCACCATAAATGTGAAATTAGCAATACTGAGAGTTGAGTGGCATGCATCTGCAGAAGGAATCCATTCTGAGAAATGATGTCAGGTTGGACATTTGCAAAGAGAGAGAGACGGAGACAGAGACAGAGAGGAAAAGTAAGAAAGAATATCTGGTATTCTTGTTTGGAAGCCAGGGTACTATACTTCGTCAAATTCTTTGGAAGTCTGGTTTGAATAATCACAAGTGTCACTGAATATTAGATATTGTATTTACTGACCGACCTCTGCCTATTAATTCAGTTTCCAAGAGCACAAGGGAGGGAAATATGGTAGATTGATGCGAACATACCTAATAATTTCCCTCCCTGAGTTTAGGCCCCATGTAGTTCATGCACTGAACAGGTGGAGGCTCACTCTTCACTGCTTGAACCTGGACTGGGCTCGTGACGTGTTTCGGACAATGCGCTGGGGTAGAAATAAATGATAATGCACCCGTTCGGAGCCCGAGTAACAAGAGGCCTTGAACACACCTATCTCTGAATTTGACACAATCACCCTGAGGACACATTCAGGTCAAACCTGCTTAATGATGAAAAACAAGGCCCATTATCTCTGGTTGTGCCTGCTGATCACCACACAACATTGGACACATGTATGAGGCCTTTCTTTTCTTTTTTTTTGGTACAGGGAATCCAACTTGGGTTGTTGGGTTTGCAAGGCAGGCAGCGGAACCACTGAGCTAAATCCCCGGCCCTACGAGGCCTTTTGGATCAGCGAGCCTGACGCTAGCCACCAGGTGACCACAGGAGCCCAAGACGGATCCACTGGACCTGGCCCAGATAAGCAGAACTTCCCTGCTGACCTCCACTGTGTGAGTAAAAACAAATGCTTACTTGTTTGAGATCTCTGAATTTTGTCGTGGTTATTATGGAACAATAGTTAGTTGAAAATCAGAGCATTTCCTAATATGAATGTTATGACAAATAGAAAATGTTGTCAATTATTATAAATTAAAAATACAAACACAAGTGTTACTAAAAACAGCCACACTACTGCTGTGTTTTAGGGTCTAGTAAGCCACTTAGCATAGCCGTTCCTATGAACCTGTGGAGCTCCGAATAAATGGATAAAGTGGAAGCTTGGGATTTGTGAGATGAAGGATCAGACACAAGACCAGCGACTTTCAAAATAATTCTGCCTGGGATGCCCAGCATTGTTTGTGTGGAGAAACACAGGAGGCCCTCAAAGAACTGGAAGAGTTTGGAGGCTCCCAGTGCAAAAACACGATAAATGCAAAGAAATGATCACCCTGATTTGATCATTACACAGTGTATGCCTGAACTGTATATTCACATCGTAGCCCCCAAATATGTACAATTATATGTCCATTAGAATTTTGTTGTTGTTGTTGTTGTTTTTTGAGACAGGGTCTCACTATGTAGTTGAGACTGACCTGGATACTCACTGTGTAGCCCAGCCTGGTCTCAAACTCACAGTGATCCTCCTGCCTCAGCCTCCCGCGTACTGGGATTACAGGCATGCACCAACACGCCCAGCAATGTCCATTATAATTTTTAATGTATTTTTAAAAGTCTTGAAATTTAAGTCACCGATCCTCCTCTTCTGCTAGTTTACATGATAGAGGGGTGCCTTTTCTCTGGTGCCTTTAATTGCCCTGGAATGGCTTTGCACTTGCTACTGTGACTTCTCTGCCAGTTCCTCTCTCAGTGCAGTGTTTTCCACTCTGTTGGTCTGTGTCTCATCCCTGTTCCTCAGGGAAATGACAGGGAGCTGTGCACAAAAAGTACCCATCACAAGAGAAGCTGGAAAATACCAACCTTTAATTGGATTCCACAGTGGGTTTCTGTGACCGCTTTTGACCTCCTGGCATTTTCATTTCTTTGAGTTTTGTCATCACTTTTATTGTGAAGAATTTGGTAGGGCCTGGCTCCTCTGTCCTGTGAGTTGCCAGCATGTTATGCTGCAGCTGAGTCTCATTACTGCAGCCACTGCTGGGCCAGCAGATGTTTGGAAAGCAGAATGGAGACCCCTGGGACTCACTAGTGACACCTGGGGTTGCAGTAGGGTGCACCTGTCTGGGAGATGCCAGAGTGAATGTACCTGTCTGTCTTGTAATGAATGAAAGGTTTCTGTTCATTTGCAAATGTTAAAAGAGCAATGCTAGAATCCGAGGATACCCATGTAAGTATATAAGCAGGATTGGGATTCAGCATATATCTAGGGAGTTTGGAGATATTTTTTGTGAAATTAAGATTTTTCCCTTGCTCTCTTTCCTCTTAAAATATTAAAAACTTAGAGCATGATGGTGAACAATTCCTGGAATGGGAATAGAGTGCCTGGATCTGAAGCACATTTGGGAACATCTTGGCACTGCTGAGTTAACTAAATGCCTTGTAGCAAGTTACACAGCTTTTCTGGGATTTTGTAAAGTGAGAATGGAATTAAATGTGTCATGAGGATTAAGTAATTTAAAAGTGTAAGATTCCTGCTGTGGAACATGGAACGTATACATCCTTGATAAATATTAGCGCTAATTTTTCACTTTCTTCTCACCTTTTCAGACATTTGATTTCACGATGGTTTGCTTACTTCCTTGTCTGTAGATGCATTATTTTTATTCTGCAAAATAAAGGATGGGATTTTTGAAAGCAAAATAACACTTATATAAAAATCTTTGAACTGTACTTTTTTTTTACCTCACTGGTATAACCATGTTCTAAAACAATGATCCAAATAAAAAGAAGTACAAAGTGTTAGTCTCAACAAGATCTATTGTTGCTTCAAAAAATGTGCTTTTTGAATATTTTTGTACTGCCATAATCTTTAAAACAGCACTTCTCACTTTGAATAATAATTTGTGCTACTGGATACCTCTTTTTAATATTTCTATGTATTTAGTACGTGCACACCATTTCCCTAAGTCCTTATAAGATAGGTAATTCAGTGGAGAGAGGATAAGCTTTTCAACAAGTGGTTTCAGAGTAATTGAAAGTCCATATGCTTAAAAAGAAAACCTAGACAGGAATTAAACTTTCATAAAAATTAACTAAAAATGGGTAATATAATAGAGCCAAGTACATTACCCAAAGCAATAAAGCTGTTAGAAAACAACAAAAGCTATGTGGGGCTGGGGATTTAGCTCAGTGGCACTGCACCTGCCTCAAAAGCGTGAGGTCCTGAGTTCAATACCTGGTGACAAAAAACAACAACAAAAAACCTAACTATATATTTGAACTTGGTTCCACAGTGAGATTTAGGCGTGTAAACAAAAACATGGTTTATGAAAGAGAAATTGATAAGTTAGACTTTATTACAATTTAAAATTCTGTGAAAAACACTATTAAGAAAATCAAGACCTGGACTGGGAAAGATATTTACAAGCACATACCTATATCCACATTATACAAGGAATGCTCTGAAAATTAACAATAAGAAAATCAATAGTCTCATTCAAAATGGATAAAACATCTGAAGATGCCATACCACATCAAAGAAAATATATTAAAATTAGCATGTGAAAAGATACTTTGTTAGTAAGGAATTGCTAATTTCCAGATAACTACACACCTATAAAATGCCTAAAATTAAAAAAAAAAACAAAAACCTGACATCACTTGCTGATAAAGATGTGGGATAACAGGAACTCTTATTCACTGCCTGTAGGGATGTAAAGTGGTTTAGCCACTTTGGAGGACAGTGTAGCTGTTTCTTACAAAGCTAAACATAGTCTTACTGTACTGTCCAGTAATTAAACTATAAAGTACTGATTTGAATGCTTAATTGCTGCTTGATGTCTTATGTACACACAAAGATTTCAGTATAAATGTTTATAGCAACTTTATTTATAATGGCCCGAACTGGAAGCCAATCATATATCCTTCAAAAGAGAAATGAACAAACTTGAGTGCATCCGTACAGTGAAATATTGTTCATTGATCAGTGCAATATCAAGCCACAAAAAAAGACATGGGTGAATCTTAAGTACATGATACTAAGTGAAAGAAGCCAGTGTACGGAAGCTATATATTATATGACTCAAGTTATATGACTTTCTGGAAAAGGCACATCTCTAGAAATAATAGAAAGATCAGGGGTTTCCAGGGGCTCAGGAGAAGGGGCAGAGCCTTGAATAAGTGGAGCACTGTAAATATTTTCATACAGTGAAACTCTTCTGCATTATAATATGATTGTGGTTACATAACTTTATGCACTTGTCAAAATCCATAGAACTTTACAGCACAATGAAATTTAATGTATGTAGGCCTTTAAAAATTCATTGAGGAGTTTGGGAGATCTCAGGATGAAATGCGGAATTGTGACGCAATAATCTGGTTGTATAAGGTGTGATTACAAAATACAGTGACTAAGTTTTAAAGTTTAGAGTGAAAGGCACATTGCCATTGACCTCCCTTCAGTACCCCCCGCTCAGTTCCAGTACCCTTATCGCATCCTCGCCGCTTTCTGAAGCAGTTCTGAAGGTTCTACTTCATGAGTGTTTTTAGGTGCAATATCATGACTGCTTTGGTGTCCTCAATGGATTCAAAATGTTTATCTTTCATGGTCAGTTTGACTGTTGGGGAAGTGCCGAAAGTCACACCTACAGTGCCAGATCCAGTGACCAAGGCTGGGGAGATAATGTTTTTAAGATAATGTTTTTAAGAGCCTGCCTTTCTGTTGGATGGTACCGGGCCCCGGCATTTACCATATGGTTTTTTTTTTATTATACCTTGTGAAGACATGAGAGCAGGCTTCCAGAACTGTTTAAGAAAGTGGCAAGAACGGTGGGGTCAGTGCATTCAAAGCAAGGAGGGGTATTTTGAGGGCAAATGGATTAAACGACCTTGCGGAAAGGTATGAGAAAATGGGGCTAACCTAATTCTTTGGAAATGAGTGGTATCTGTAAGACTAAAGGTTAAAGGAACTGCACATAAGCACTGTTCTCTAGTTGATGAAGTGATTTCTCATGTGGATTCCAGTTCTGCTACACATGCCTGTTGGAATTGAGCCATTAAATGAATAAGTTGACAATAGTCAGAGCCAACCAAGTTTCTCACTGTTGGAGTAAGAGGTTACAGAGAAGCAAGAGGAGGAGCCTGAAATCACCCATGTGCTAATGGATTAGAGGTGGAGATAGGAATATGAACTCCTCTGATATGATATGGGTGGTTACAATAGAACTATTTATAGACTACATGTAGAAGTAGTTATACATATGTTATATACATGAGATAATATATATGCACCTATATTTCCTTGCTCCATCACAGAGATAACCTAGAATTAATACTGGCCCATTTGTGAGGAGCACAGCTAGTATGAAGATCTTGGTTTCTAATGTTATTCTCCAGCCACTGGCTTAGTTAGTGACTTGGACAAGGGTGGGAAATGTAAAAGATAAGCATGGAGCTCCAAAAAGTAAGAAAGTACATGGAAAATACATGTACACACACACGCACACACGCAACAGTGAGGATATGTCAAAGGAACGTGGAGCCAATGGAAAAAACTCCCAATGGCTAAAGGTAGGAAATTTAAACAAAAGAAAGTAGTATTAGAGCCAGGGATTTAGCACAGTGGTGCCACCACCTGCCTTGCAAGCACAAGATCCTGAGTTCAATCCCTGGTACAAAAAAAAAAAGTACTATTAGTTTGAAATCCAAAGCAAAAAATAAATATAGGTGTTCATACCAAAATGAACGAATTTTGAAAAATTAAATGGAGGAGAGCAGGTAAATTTCTTACACTAAATAATTCTAAATAATGTATATACCTACTCTGTTTTCAGGAGCCAGAACAAAATTCCTTTAAGTATAGGTTGAAGATAGTCCCTTCATTCTGAAGAGTTCAGAATGGAGAGATAGCAACCTGATGTACACATTTCCTCAGCCAGATAACCAAGGTCACTGTCCACGGTGATGAGTTATCCTGACGTACCCTTGACTGGCTGTGAGGCATATTGAACTTTATTTCTGCAGTCTTCGTCCCATTCCCAGTTTAATCATGAGATGAACCCAAGCTGGGGACGCTGAATGAGGTATCTGAGCAGTACACAAAAAGTCAAGGTAATGAAAAACAAGGCAAATCTGGCCTGGTATGGTGGTACATGTTAGGTCAAAGAAGAACCCTGAAGAAACCAGCAAGATGACCAGCCTCAAAAAAAATTGAAAGTGGAAGTATCATTTCCTCTGGCAATCACAGACCTGGCTCTTGAGTTCAGAAGACACCCCTCCCGCCCCGTCATCCCCATCCCTGCCCCCTACCAGGGGGGTTTAGCGTTATATATGGGGGTCTGGGTAAGGTGATAGGGCAGACAGGAGCAAAGCAGGTAAGGATGACAGGTTGAGCTAAGTTCTATTGTTCTAAGTTTCTTTTTCTCTGAAATGACATCACCGAGTCGTTTTAGTTAAGTTAAATTCTGTTTTCCAGAAGAAAGGCTTTTGTCTTTCGGAAATGACATGGCCCACCTGCCTGGAAGGGGGTACTGTATTTACTCCTCACATTGCTGACTTCTGGAGGAAAAACTGTCTTGAGAAGATTTTTGATGTGGCAAAAAACAGTGTTCTTTCTGAAAGAATAAACAGAGGCCTCTTTTTTTGGCAGGTAAGATATCTAATCCCCTTTGGTTTTGTAGGGCCATATCTACTTGGATTGGGCTGGTGGGTTCTTTTCACTGGAATGTTACTGGTACAAGGGGTAGCTAGGGTTAAGCAAGGCTCAGTAGGTAGTTGGGGTCTGTTAGCTGGGAAGGAAGATGTTATTTGGCCAGAGTATAGACCTAACCTATGACCCCAGATGTGAGCATAAGAAAGGAACAATTTTGTCTCCTAAGGGAAGTTAGGACCTCACAGTGTACACTTGTAAACCCCGTGACCTGGAAGGCTGAGGCAGGAGGATTACAAATTTGAACCCAACCTGAGCCATGTAGTGAGAACTGGCTGACAATAAGGACTGAGGATGTAACTCAGTCGTAAAGCTGGGTGCTGATTCCACAGTCTAGTACCGAAAAAACCAAAACCCGAAGAAACAAACACCAAGGAAAATCTGAGAAACTTTTACAGCTAAGGGAAACCTAAAGAGACATGATGTATAAATGTAATGAGATTTCTAGAGGAGATACTAGAAATGAAAAATGGACATGAAGGGAAATCTGAAAAAAGTGTGGATAAAATACGGACTTTATGTAAAGATAATGTGTCCATATTGACTCATTAAGAGTAACAAAGGCACCATGCTAATATAAGACGTCAATAACAGAGGAAGCTGGGAGCAGGGCACATGGCAATGCTCTGTATTCTCTTTGTAATTTTTCTGTAAACCTACAACTATTCTAAAATAAAACATATAAAAAAGTTTATAATGCCTGGATATTGCCCCTGTGATTCTGATTTCATGGAAGAGGTGTGGCCTGACCTTTAAGATTTTTAGAAGCTCCCAATGTGATTCTAATTTACATCCTGCAATCTACTATTCTATGGGGAGCTAGTTTCTGCAAACAAGCTGTTCTTTCTTCCTTCCGCTTTTTCATTTAATTATAACAAATGTTCTGACCTCAGCTCTGGTAAAATTGCGATGTGACTTAATGATTTTGAATGCAGCAGTCTTTAAATGCACAGTCATAGGAACGTCAAGAGTATTATTTCACATTGAACTAAAGATCTTGTCCAGATGCTTAAAACACCATAAAGAGTTGAGATAAATAGGCAGTGAAGGGCAGATTAGGCTAAATGTGTTGTGCGTTTTAATGCATGAATGGTGGGAATGCCTTCATTTTCCCTCAGTTAAGCGATTTCATAGGTAGTCAGAGGCGAGACATCCCTTAAATTTTAGATGCCAAAGGTTTGGCTTTCATTAGATAGTAGAATAATTCTGTGGGCTTTGATTATGACAAATGAGATAAAAGCATTATCTACTGGCAAATGTAATTTAAAGGTTCAGGAACCATGCAGGGAAGCTGGCAGCTGAGCTTCCCGGGGGAGCAGACAGAAAGGAAGGAATCTTCCCACCCAAGCACGCCGATGAACTTCAGCGAAGAGAGGAGGCAGAGAGGTGAAACAGCCTTGCTTCCTCCCTCACAGACACTGTGGCCCTTAGCTTGGAAATGATGAGACTGTATCTTTAGATTTGTGCTCTGGCTTAAACCCCTAACCATCTGGGGAATGCTTCATGCAATTTTTATTTTATTTTTTGAGACAGAATCTTGCTGTGTAGTCCAGACTGGCCCTGAACTCTGACTTAACCTGTGCCTTGGCTTTCCCAAGCTTCATGCGTATGAAGGTATGCAAAAAGTTTATTTTTCCTATCATTTTTCTTCCTTAAATAATTGTTAGTTAGATTTCCTGCATTTAGTTAAAGCCTGTAAGAAAACATTTGTTGATTGCATCCTATGCTTATGAGAGGCCTTGAGGAGGATATTTAAAAAGTTGAAAAAATAATTGTGTCTTCATTTGTCCATTCATTCCTTCATCCTGGCAATACTCATTTGAATGTGTATCATGACACAGGCATTTGCTAGGTTCAAGAAATTTTTAAAAATCAGTACTAAGGCAAAGCACTGCATAAGATTTGGTCTCCTTTCTTAAGGTGTCCACAGTCTAAGACCTTACTAAGTCAGTAGTTCTTGATGTCTGGGGAAATATTTAGCTAGCACTGCTGGGAGGGGCAGGAGACGTTAGAGTGCCTAACAGGAGGGAACAGAGATACTGCTAAATAGCCCAGTGCGTAACTCGGCCACCTCCTGCCCCCAACCATGAATTATCCGACTGCACTGTGTAGAGCCTGAGATAAGCTGCAGACCCACCGGGCTCTTCCTTAAACGTAGAACCTGCTCTCCGCTTCCCAGTGTAACGAAGCAAGTTCCAGCGCTACCTCCTTCCCGCCTTTACCAGGTGGTGTGGGAGCCATAGAGAAGAGCAAGGGGAACTGCCCTGCCATTGGTGGGGTTGGATGTAGGAAGGTCAGGGGTTCTGTCATAAGATTCCCAAAGTTCTGTGACAGTCCAGGCCAGGGCCATGTCCAGCTGTACGGGCTGCTTCCAGGAGAAGACCTGAGCCTTTTCCTTTTTTATGGAGAGCAGCCAGAGTTCTACAGGCAAGGCCAGATATGCACAGATCCTTTCAGATAGCATTACTATAAGCCAACGACACTCACAATTTAAATATAGCATGTGCACCTTCAAACTTCGTTTCAAAACATGTATGGCCCCACGTAGAAATAACTACAAGCTTAAAAGAAAAATGTTGTCTTACAACTCTTTTCGGTGTAGCCAGTAGGCACACACGGCTACATAAATTTAGTTGACATTAAATGAAATGAAAATTTTTTATAAAATTTAAAAATTCATTCCTTGACATCGCAAGTCGCATGTTAAGTGCTAAGTACAGTAGGTACTGAATTGAAGTGTGCATGAAGTATGTCTCTGTCTTCACAAGTGCCTCTTGGACAATACGGCCTTGTGAGCTACAAGAATCCTACAAGGATTCCCAAGGATCCTCCCAATGTACACAGCTATTGCTTAAAACAAACAAAAAAAAAGTTTCCTAGTATCGAGGTTCAGGGGCAATTGTTGGCATCATCTCATCATCCTTGTCGGTTGGAAAGGCACAGCTGTGTTCGGCTGGAGGGACAATGTCTTCTCTGACATGGACTTCTGATAAGTGGTTATATAACGGGTGTGTTGGGTAACATATCAGATACATGAAACCACGATTTTCCACAAGCCATGACAATGTAAAGTTCAAATAGATTGATTTCTATAAGGCATTGATGACTGAAGCGTGTATCGTTATATGAAAACTCCATGGAGGTAGGTCAGCAGGGAATTAAGATGCGTGACCCAAATATATTCCATTTTAGTGACTGAGGGTAATTCAGAACTGGAACCCTGTAGATCTCAACTGTAGACAGGGTGGTGTGAAGGAAGAAGCAGACAGCAAAATACTTTGATGAGCTCCTTTTAAATGCATAGGTCACAGCCGTGAAAGGTTTATCCCAACATTGGCCATCTTTGGGTGGGCAAGGGTATTCTCCCATGTGTATATTTAATGTGCTCAATCTAGGATAATTAGTGTGCCTTTTGCCACTGTATGCATGTGGTATATTGCTTTAAAAAGGTCTCACGTTCTAGAAATTTTGATTCAGTACACCTAGGGTGGAGCCTAGGCACTCACTCCGTTCTCTTTTGTTGTCTTTCTTTTAGATGTCTGACTGGTTGTTTCCAACTAACTCTCCCCCAGTTCACTGAGGATGATTATCAGTTCAATTTACAACAATGGCCTTAGGCAGTTTTTTTCCAATATCAAATGTCTTTAGCTCACTATAATAAGCTGTATATCACAGTCTGCTCCTGGATCCATTTTCTGATCAGTGCCGGAAATAACAATATGATGTGCTGCTGATCAAAGGAGATGTCTCACACACACACGCGTGCGTGCGCGCACACACATGATGCATTAGCCAGCAAGGCACTGAGCTGACGAAGTTCCTTTTTGTAGTTTTGCTCAGGCTAAAGGTCACCCTGCTTTCACGGAAAGGAAGGCCATGAGTGTGTGAACAGGGCTAAAGTGTTCTCTGAAAGGATCTGTTCAAGTCCTTGGATTCCTTTTCAGATTGAGAATCCAGAGTTTGCATAGAACTTTGTCCATTTTTAATATTAGAAGGCTTTTCCTTGCATAGTGAAGTCTAATGGTGAAGTCCTAAGAACAACATCTGATGCCATGCTGATGGAGAGAAAATTTTAACACCTTCCCCATTCCTCATTAATGCTGGAATTTTATGTCACATTTTCAGAGCATATTAGACCAAATGGGGCCATGTTTGTTTTGCATTTTCATTTTTTCTTCAAATTGACTGAGAATAGCTCAACCACGTTATATGTTGTGCTTATCCTTGCTTGATTTTAAGTTTTCTCCTGATGAAAACCCAGTTTTCCCTGTAATATGTAATATGTTGATCAGGTAGGGATTTTAAAGGTTAAGTCAGGATTACTATAATTGGAAACTATCTAGAATATAAATTTCTTATTTTGCCTCCTTCGTAAGTGCAGGGTCCCAAGTTCAATCCCCGGTACAATCAATCAATCAATCAATCAATCCTTTTTGTGGCATGGCACACAACGACATTAGGGGAAAAAAACATTCTACGAACCCCAAAAAGTGTTCAGACTCAGCTTCTTCCTGTTTTTAAGGACATTGGGATCTATTGGTTGATGGAGGAAGGAACAAAACTGCGAGGAAACCGGGGGAGATAGTTAACCAATAGGGAAGGTTCTAGCTCTGAAACATCTTGGTGAAGGTTTCTGCTGAGTCTACCTGTGCGTGGGCTGTGGGAGATGTGATATCTGGGAGGCAGCAGCACTCTCTTCTCTCAATTGAGGAGGTGGAGGAGGAGCGGGGGAGGACTTAAGCCATGTAGAGGGTTGGCTTTAAAAAATTCACTTGTGTCTTGCGAAGAATGAAGAACAATCTCTAGAATGCCCTACTGCGAACTACATTATTTATTTCCAAATAAATATTAAATATCTCTTATGTGCTGAACACTGTCATTCAGTGTGCTGGTGTAACAGGAAAGCTGGATAGATAGATAGAGACAGACAGAGACTTGATCCCGGTTTTTGGCACAGTGCTTCTAAGACTTTTGTAAGTGTTTGAGTGACAGGACTGTCTTTTGTATGCTAATGAGGCAACCAAAAGAGGAGCCGGCTTAGGTAACTTCAGGATAAGGGCTGAGCCCTGGAGGAACCTAGCACCCAACTAGAAGGTCAGCTCTGTACTCCACCACCTCCAGAGAGGGAAGGAGGGTGGAGACTGAGTTCTATCACCATTGGCCAAAGATTTTGTAAATCCTGCCTGTGTAAGGAAGCTTCCATAAAATCTCTGAAACAGTGATGCTCCGGGAACCTGCTGGTTGGAACTCACTGGCCTGCTGGGAGGGCAGCATTCTCTTACTGTGTGGTGGGTCTGACAGATCCAAGTTCTTGTGCATGGCTAGCAGTGGATTGCAAAATGTACAGTCAATGGAAGGAGAAAAGTGGCTATGTTTGTTGAAGCTCCTGAACAGAGAAATGGGTGACATAAAAGGAATGCTGCGTGCTGCAAAAATAAACAAGCTCTGGGCTAAAGAGTGAGCAAGGAAAAATACAGCCTGGATGTGCTTTGGTCTGAGGCTTTATAAAATGTTCCTGGGTGGCATAGGAGCTCAAGTGGGTGGAGGGAAGTGAGTTCCTGCCCCCAGGATGCTATCTGTAGTAATGCCAGATGGCATGGCAGCTCTGTGGCTCTCCTCTCATGCTTTGCTCTGTAGAGCACTTCAATTTGGCTCTCCCGTGTTTACAAAAGTGTAATAGAAAGTAGGGAGCTTTTGTGAGTCCCGTGAGTCATTCTGTACGGGTACTGAATGTCGGGGTGGTTGTGGTGGTCACCTCATATTTGTAGTAGACCGAGCAGAAGTAAAGGGTAGCCTGAAGACCCTATTCACAGGTGGTCCCTCAAGTGATAGCATCTTCCGGAGCTATGTCTTTAACTTTCAGGGTAAATCAGTAGTGTCTACATTGAATTGAATTTTTGGCCACCTAATTGGTGTTAGCAAATGAGAGAACTGGTTGATACTGGAAGGATGTGGTGGGGGATAAAGTAGTAAAGAATACCCATATAGGTTTCTGTTTTCAAAATGTACAGATGACCCAGGGAGTTTTTTGGGTTTATTTAGCACTGTGCTGTATAACATCCAGTTACTCTCCCAGCTCCTCACCCTGCTCCTTCGAGGACTGGCCCTTGGCTTTTGACTCTGTTTAGCTGTGGTCAGTGGGATTCTTTGGTAGGAACTGGAACAGAAGGAGCTGACAGAAGGCAGGGGATGGAGTCCCCTCCTTTCCTCCTTGTGAGGCCGCCTTTCACACCTTCACTGTCTTCTCTCAAGGCAATCTTTTCACAGTGGCTTCCTCCTTCCACATCCTGGTAACTTCTCCTTTTCCTTGTCTGCTGTGCCCAGCGGTGGTAAAAGCGTTTCGGCTTCTAAACCCGGGTCAATACCCATGCACTTCTATACCTTATGTACATGTGTAGAAAAAGTTCCACAGCAAAGAAATCTTCTTTGAATTCCTCTCATATGAGTGTTCCGTCTCACCAGGACCCTGACCGATGCAAGCCCTATGCACTTGAATGCTGGACTTATGTCTTCTGAGTATGTTGACCTTGTTTTAGTGTAGTTGATCCTAAGCCAACTGTTCAGCTGCTTGTAAGAAGGTCACGCTGAGTTGCAATGATAAAAATCACATCCTA